AGTCGTCGATGATGATTTTTGTGGAACCGCGACGAGGTTTTGAAGAGGGAAGTCGGAATGGAGTCGATGGTTTCTTGATGTTAGGCTACAAAGTGTTTATTTGATTTTTTATTTTATTTTAATTTATATTGTAATTATAGTATTATAAGTAATAAAAAAATTATAATAAGGGTAATATAGTGATTTTATTTCTAATAGGGACCAAACACGCAACAAAATTACTTCTTAAGGTCCGTCCGAGTTAAAAAAAATTAAGGACCAAACACGCCAAATACCCCAAACTACAGGGACTATTCGCATAATTTACTCTTTAAACTTTAGTCTAAATGTAAAAAGTTTACTTACCCTTTCTATTTTTTTCTTTTATCCATTTATAAAATTTAACAAGGCAAAGCAACCAAAAATGGGAATCTTAACTGATTTAACCGATATAACTGGTCCATTATAATTGAAACATTATTGAAAATGGTGTTTCGGTTTTTTATTTCCATTAACCGAATGAAAATAGTTCGGTTTCAGTTTTATTGTAAAACGGCCATATACATAACCAAATAGAACTACATGCAACTAATAAAAAAATTATATATAAGTAATTGTATTAATTAAAAAATGAATTGAAATTGAATAGAATTTGAGATGCAAAAAAAGTAAAAATTGTCATCATAATATTTAACAAATAGTAGCGAACTTTCGCTTTTTCTCTTTTTATAGAAAGATATTTTCTGATTTTTACTATTTTTAGCAATATACTTTTTTGCTTTTTATGTTTAATAACAATGTACTTTTTATTTTATGCCATTTTGGACCATTATAGTTAGTCAATATTAATTTACAAACAAAATTATTAACTAACTAAAAATATTTATTTGAAACCACTCGTACCCGATAACCAATGGCTATCTAAATGCATTAACTGATTGTAATGGTTATAGGTTAGTTTTGGCTTGAACCAATATCCCCCATACATACCCTAAATTTTAATAATGTAACGACCCAAAAATCAATGGTAAAAATTTCATTTTTTCATTATAGTCAAAACACAGATCTCTTTTAAATCCAACCTTTCAAAATACATTGCTAATTAAAAACATTTATCAGAGTTCATTCCAAAATCAAATATTGCGGAAAACACAAGGGTGTGCGCTACGATCAAGCCGGGTTGTTCCTTTCCAAACCAATGATACCTGAAATCATAACAAAATTGTAAGCACGAAGCTTAGTGAGTTCCCCAGAGCATACCCTACATAATCACATAATCATATCAATCGCGTAAACTACACAAGTCATGCATATAAACATATATGGATGCCCTGAAAACCCTCCAGGGTCTTAGTCTGGATGCCATAGGAACCCCCACATGATCTTAGCCCAATGCCTCGGGGACCCCCGAGGTCTTAACTAAGGATGCCATGGAACCCCTCCAAGTTCTTACACCCTAGTTCCTCGGGAACCCCCCGGGGTCTTTACTCTCGAATGTCTTACACCCAAGTGCCTCGTGAACCCCCGAGGTCTTCAATGCAAGTATCACAAAGACAACTAGCATATCACATACCATATAATCAACTAGCATACCACACAACACAATATCAACTAGCATACCACATAACACATAATGGACTGACCTTGGTGCCTTCGACCCATTGGTATGGTGAGGAGACTCACCTCGCACTGCTGAAGTCCCGCAGATAAAACTCCAGCTGCTGGTTGACAGATTCCTGAACTATTAACATAAAAACAACACCCAATTAATAATTGGGTTCCAATACATAACCATAAATCCATGCTTGGGGTAAAAAGACTACTTTACCCCCAACCTAGCTTGATTCAAAACTAAGGCCCAAACTCACACTCTGAAGGCCCAAAAGCAAAATAATCAACCAAGGCCCAACATATGGCCCAATTTTCCAAACTGGGCCCAAACCTCTACGTGATCTTACCTTAAGGCCCAACCATTTATTCTAGTCCAAACACTTGGCATTCTGATGGCCCAACATCTCATAATAATCAAGGCCCAATTATGGTCCACCTATGGCCCAATTTTCCAAATTGGGCCCAAGATTTTCCAATGGGCCTTATCCTAAAGCCCAATATTTTCCTTAATCCATAAACATGTTCCCAATTGGCCCATGAAGGCCCACAACAACTTAGTCCAAGAAATGGCCCAACAAGAACCCAAACCTAATTAGGGTTTTTCACATAAAATAACGGGTAGGGTTAAGTTGTCTTACTTAACCCATTAAAGACTTAATCCATTAAGTCCATCACTCCACTAGGCCAGACATACAATGTAATCGGGCATAAGTCATAACATCAATCCAATGGTCCAAAATGCGGGTCCCGACAAGTCCAAACTAAAATCTCCAAGATTAGGGTTTTCTAAACCCTAATTAGGGTTTCCAACCCATTCACATGCTAATTTGCTCAATGGTTAAGTTTTTTTTACATTAATTAGAGTCTAATAAGTCGGGCACCACCGCACCACCCAATGTCGCCTCGGGTGGTGGTGGTCAATGGCGGTTCGCGGCGGCAACCACCACCCCACGGTGGTGGTTATGATTATAAACCAAAATACATCAAAAGCATCCCAAATAACGGACCATTCACACGCAAGAGCACACAGCCACCCATGGTGGCGGCTAGTGGCGGCAACATGGCAGCGTGAGGTGGCAGCCACCACCACACGGTGGTGGTGGAGTTTTCCTCGGTTTTTCGGCCAACAATAACACACACACGCGCGCCTGAAACAGAGCAACACCGGGATACACACTCAATCAACAATCTTGTGGCGGCAGACGGTGGTTGGAGATGACAGCCACCACCTCATGTAGGTGGTGGCGGGTTTTCTTGATTCCCTGTCAAAAATGCACATACTACACCATTAATTCTGAAAGCAGCTCTTATATGTGAACACATACGCACTCAGCCACCTACAAGGTGGCAGAACGTCGCCGGAATGCAACAGAAATGGCGAGCAACGGGCGGTGGTGGCCAAAATGGTGATTACGACCCATACAACAAAAAAAAGGAACAAAAGAGATGAGAGAATAGATACGGTTAGCCTCACCGAGAGCTTTCCGATCGCACACGACCCGTGTTTCGCCGGTCACAACTTCGTCTTCGTTCTTGGTGGGGTTTCTCCAGCCGTTCACGAAATCACTGGCAGCAGCAGGGGATGTGACGGTGGCATTTGACGACAAGGTAGCAGAGGGTAGGGCGGAAGTCGGACTTGACGTGGCAGCGGCGGCTGAGAAGGGTCCGAAGGTGGTGGCGGCTGAAGAAGTGTGGCTAGGGTTAGGGTTAACATAGTGATGCATCTTCAAACGATGGGGAAAAGAAGGCGTCGGGTTTAAACCCGTATCTTATACAACTTCATACGAATTTGACACTTCCAGTCCCTCCCACTCATAATCTTTTCAAAATAAATCCATAAGTTACCATTTAGCCCTCAACATTCCATAATCCTTTCAATTTAAGTCCAATATTTTACCAAAGACCCCTTGACTTCTAAAAATCTTTACATATCAATACGAAAATTACACTTAACCCCTAATATTCAAAAGTTATGACATTTAACCCCCCAAACCAACACCTTGCTAAATTATTCCGAATTTAGGGCTACAATAAAATAACATGATTTACATCTCGGGGTTAAGGGTTTATTATTTATTTACTTAATTTCAAACTGAATGTTACAAGTAATATAAAAATATAAGGACCCTAACCCCCACACCTTGTTCCCATCGACTTCTTACCTCATTATCTCCTTCACTGTCATCCCACACCCTCTTCCTTGTCTATGATGATCTAATAAAAAACCTTCATATCTGACGACCAAATCAAACAGTTTTGACAGGATTACGTGGTCTCCCTAATCAGACGACCATGGGGTTTTAAGCTGAATATCCAACTATAGCCTCTCACCTCAGGCGTCAACCATTAACAACATCCTTGTTGTTGTCATTCTTCTTTTGTGTTGTTTTTTTCTCGTTCTTTCTTTATGTCTTGTATCCTCTATCTTCAATCAAACATTCACATGTACTTTTCTCCCTTTTAGATTATTGGTAGTAGTCCTACACACTAAGTCTATTTTCTTGTTTTTATGTTTCTCTTCCTGATTTGAATCACACAACAAATAATAGAGGCCAAATTTTCTTTATTTTTCTATTGTTCCAAAAAATCGCAGATAACAAAAACATTCAAATACATTTTTGGATAAATCTGCAACATGTTCCAACCATATGATCGGGTTCTTGGAACTAGATTCGTTTTATGTTTCAAATTATATTTATTCTAATTTGGATGATGTGTGTACTAAATGATTTTCTATTTGGTTGTTTGGATGATTTTGAAGGTCTTCATCGGGGATGAAAATTAATAATGATTTCATCGGAGGAGGAAAGCCAAAGGCGATGGTGGATGGCGGATTGCGAATTGAAGAAAGAGAAGAATAGGATGGGCTAGGAGAGGTGGGCCCTTATTTTTTATTATTAAATATTAAAATTGAGTAAAAGAAAAAAGAAAAAATATATATTTGAAAGGGTAAAGTAGTCTTTTCATATGGACAGAAAGACGGGGGCCGGGTTATAATTTTTTTTAAACTATAAGGATACAACTTATCAATATTTCAAATGTTGGAATAAATGTATTTTTCTAACCAAACCACTAGGGAAAAAACTGTAATTTATTTTTTTAGTAATTTAAAAAAAGCCAATTCAGAAAAATAAATAAACATAATCTATCAAGATGTCTAAAGGAGTTGCATGGTGAAACTTCACGTGAAAGTAACCAAAGACAAGGCAATCACCACCACTAGCAGCCATGAATCAGTCAAAAGGCTAGTAATGCTTTATAGCCCTTTCACATTTTATATATTTTTTAAATAACATGAAATTTATAATATCCAAGTCGATTATATTTATAATATGTCGAAATTTCCCTTCCTTTTCACTCTATATCTATAAATAATGTGATCCTTCCACAAGCTCACCAATACTCCATACAAACTAACACAGAAAAAAACCGAACATTCCAAGATCACAACTTTCAATCTGAATCCACATCGCACGATTCAAGTTTTGTTGCTTTTAATTTGTTGCTCGAGAGAAACTGTGAAAACACAGGTTTGAGTTCGAATTGTAAGGGATTATGGGAAGAGAGATGAGTAATCTTAACCCAAATAGAGAAACTCGTATTCCTGTTCCTACCGTGTTCTCAGTTCCATCACCATCACCATCCCAATTCCATTCTCCTTCTCCAGCCAATTCCATTCCAATGACACCTAAAAGCCCATTCATCACACGCGTCATGACACCATTGGCTAGCCCCATGAAGAAGGCCATGGCAAACATGCAAGGCTACTTGGAGTTCACTAAGCTCAACCCACACGATGAATGGCTTCCTATAACTGAATCAAGGAATGGAAACGCGTTTTATGCAGCATTCCATACCCTCAGCTCTGGAATCGGAGTTCAAGCTCTTGTTCTTCCCCTTGCCTTCACTGCACTTGGGTGGTTAGTTTAATTACTTCCGCACTTCTCGCTTTTTAACCAAAATCAATCACTATTTTTCATCGTTATTTACATGTGTTTTGTGAAATGATTTGTAGGGTTTGGGGAATAATGAGTTTGTCAGTAGTTTTTGTGTGGCAAATGTATACACTTTGGCTTCTGATTCAACTCCATGAATCTTCTTCTGGGACTCGATACAGCCGATATCTATGGCTTTCCATGGCTGCTTTTGGTATGCCTCACTTTCACTTTTCTAACCCTCAACCAAAAACGAAACAATTTTTTGTACAAGAGTCAATTTTTTTACCCTTTTTGAAGGGATAATATATATAGTTAATCACAAACACGAGGTTACCAAATTTAACAACTAAGATTAATTGCAAAATTCAAAAATATTTCAAAATTACCTTTTACCGACAAAGCTGGTTGCAAAAAAACATTAAAAAGAACTACAAAAAAAATTTCGCAACTACGATTTTGAAATAAGATTTTTGTTTAATTTTTACTGTTTATAAAGGTATTTTGTGGTGAAGCATTTTCTTGATTCGTAATTCACCATTTATGATATTTATGTTAACATTGTAGTCAATTTGTTAAGTGTCACCTAATAAAATTGTCATTGATTCCCTTTTTGGAGGCAGTACTAATACATAAATTGGACTTTATGTCATTTAGGAGAGAAATTAGGGAAGCTCATGACGTTATTACCGACAATTTACCTTTCAAGTGGGACATGCATAACCCTAATCATGATCGGGGGAGCCACCATGAAACTTCTTTTTAACATCATCTATGGCAATACATGGGAGAAAAATAATGAAACCCCACTATCAATGATCGAGTGGTACCTTGTTTTCACATGTTTGGCAGTTGTGTTAACACAACTGCCAAACTTGAATTCGATTGCAGGGGTTTCATTGATTGGGGCTATTGCTTCGGTCTCATATTGTACTGTAATATGGGTGGTGTCGGTTGTTGAAGGGAGGCCAACGGGTGTATCCTATGAGAAGCCGGATGAGGTGTCACAAGTTGCTAGGGTTTGTGATGTTTTAAATTCTCTTGGCATCGTTGCGTTTGCTTTTCGAGGTCATAATTTGGTGCTTGAAATACAGGTACGTTGATATACTTTATGCAATTAAAACTATGAACACATTCTTTTTTTTTTTTTTAATTAAAATTACCGAACACATTAATTCTTTTGCTTGAAATATATTTTTATTATTACATAAACATTTTTCTCGATTTTATTTTTGGGTTTCATACATTCTATGATGGAATTTCTAGTTTTGTAATATTTACATATTGTTAAGTGTTATCAAGTTTTTAACATTTTAATATTTTTATTTTGATAAAACTAAAACTACATTTTATATGTTGTCGTTTTGGAAATTTTAACTATTTTATGTTTTTTCATTTTTAAAACATTGAGAAACAATTTTATGTGGGTACATGAAGTTTTCAACTTTTATATATTTTAACATATGCTTTATGGAAAAGGAAAATACATAAAAAACCAAAAAATAAAGATGTAAAATAAAAAATTCAAAAGTTCAATTTTTTGAAAAAATGGACATATATGTAACTAGCTAAACAAACTCTTCCCCTTTAAAAAAGCTTGATTTGTTTGTTCACAATGGTTATAGTGCTATATCAATTGGAATTTTCTGATAATAATAAAAAAGTTTTAATACTCTTACCAATTAGAGTTGCTTTATCTAAACATCTCAAACATTTAAAACATTAAAACTTATATATTTTAACATATGCTTTATGGAAAAGAAAAATACATAAAAAACCAAAAAATAAAGATGTAAAATAAAAAATTCAAAAGTTCAATTTTTTGAAAAAATGGACATATATGTAACTAAACAAACTCTTCCCCTTTAAAAAAGCTTGATTTGTTTGTTCACAATGGCTATAGTGCTATATCAATTGGAATTTTCTTATAATAATAAAAAAGCTTTAATACTCCTACCAATTAGAGTTGCTTTATCTAAACATTTCTAACATTTCAAACATTAAAACTTATAAGCTTTTAGTTTGAGTTACACTTTTCAGGTTTTAATTGAGAGTTTCTCAACCTAATAAAATTTTTGTTGAAGGATCAAAATCGAACGGTTCGAAAATTAAGCCATCAGACTCCACGCCCAAACCAACTTATGAACGTTACTGTTCATATTCAAAATTTTATCATCTCTAAAAATATATATAACATAATGAGAAACTTTTTAAAAATTTAATATAAAAATATTAAAAAATGTAAACTAACACGTAATATTATATTATTTTAACCATTATGTCTGAGAATGGATATTATCCTACTTAAGATTAAACTAAAAAACTAATATAAATAACAATATACACCTGTTACAAAAAATAATTAATCTTTTGAAAAATCTATCTGGCAAATTGATGTCTTCCATCGGAACATCATAAAAAATAGCTCTATAAAAAAATCTCTATCAGAAAATTATATAAAAACAGTTAGTTACAGAAAATAGATAACTTTATATATTGTCGAATTAATTAATATAATATAATAAGCTTACAATAAGATAATATTATTTTTTCAAAAAAAAATACATCAAAATTATAATAAGATAACACACTCAATAGAAACTACCATAAGATTTAATAAGATTAAAATAAAGTTATAAACACAGTAATTTAAGAAAAAACCTTTAAATTTTGATATTTTATTGAAAAAGTCATTGTATTTTTTATGACCTTTTTACTGCTAAAATCGAAAATATACAAACATATGTTAGTTTCATTGTTTTTTTCTTTTAAAAACTCATGATTTAATTATTTATAAGCACAAAATATATGTATTTTCATGATGATTCGTAGAACAATAATAATAATTTTGTATTGAAAAGGAAATGTGAACCCTGATTTGGTGGATCACGTGTATTCCATTGAGTACGACCCACAAAAGTCCAGTCCAGTGTTTGGTGCTGTGTTATTTCCGGGGAGTGGTCCAAGTGGATATGTTTCACACTTTCTCCCATTCTTTAGGATGCATAATTGTTCAGTTGTCCCCAAATCATATGATCACAAAAACAATTTCTACACTTTTTCGCATGTTTTTTTTTTTTTTTTCCTTTTCTGTATCTTCCGTAGTTAAAATATAAGTTTTCAAAGCTTTTCTTCATATAAAATATTTTAACATATGATAATATATATGTTTTTTTAATTTTCCCAGGGTACAATGCCTTCAAATCCAAAACAACCATCACGTATACCCATGTGGAAAGGTGTAAAATACTCGTATTTCATTATCGCAATGTGTCTCTTCCCTCTCGCAATCGGTGGATACTGGGTCTACGGTAACATGGTAAGATATACTACATTTCATACAGAATGACAGTCGATATACATATCACATAGAATGATAGTGTAGAACAAACTTCAATCAAGTCCACTATAGTAATATGATATAATATTGAGTAAAGTGTATTTTTTTGGTCCTTAACTAGAGCTGAATTTTGCGATTTTCAACTTAAAATGTTTTATTTTGCAATTTTAATCTTTATTTGAGGGTTTTATACCTTTTTGTCTTTCAGTATAGCTAATTTTTATAAATTTGGTCCCAAAACATATTCTTTTACAATTTTGGTTCTTTTTTGAGATCCTTGTAAGGTTTTTTGGTTTTTGTTTCGAGTAAATATGAATTTTTAGCACTAGTTATAACTTATTTTGTAATTGAGGTCGTAAAAATATAGTATTCGACTTAAAACATGGAACAAATATGTTACAAGAACCTCAAATAATGACCAGAATTGCAAGAATTTTATTTTTGGGAACAAAATTTGTCCATACACCCCCTCCGGCCCTACTCATGCATCCGCTCACACGTAACCACTGTAATTGCACAACATACAAGTCTCTAATGCATGAATGTCAATCCAGATGCCGACAACCGGAGGACTCCTAAACGCATTGTATAAATACCACGGGAGATCAACTTCACGAGCAATTTTAGGGTTAACAAGCGCACTTGTCATCATCAACAGTCTCACCTCTTTCCAAATCTACGCAATGCCCGTTTTCGACAACCTAGAACTGCGATACGTGACTAAAACAAACGGGCCATGCCCATGGTGGGTCAGGGCCGGGTCACGAGTTTTCTTCGGCGCCTTAGCTTTCTTTGTGGCAGTTGCCCTCCCATTCCTACCAAGTCTGGCAGGTCTCATAGGCGGCATTGCCTTACCCATGACTTTAGCATACCCGTGTTTCATGTGGATAGTAATAAAGAAACCTAATGTTTATAGCAAGATGTGGTGGCTCAATTGGATTCTTGGTTGCCTAGGGATGATTTTAAGCATTCTACTTGTTTTAGGGGCAATTTGGACAATAGTTACCCGAGGAATCGAGGTCCATTTCTTTAATCCAAAGTGAAAAACAATCAAATGTATGTAGTAATTTGTTATTGTTTGCTTCAATTCCAATTACACCAATAGGATAAAGTATAAAAGGAAAAACAAAGGTCCAAGATTGTATGAAAATGGTGAAAAAGTGTTGGAATTTATAAAGATTAGGGTTTTTTTTTTTACATTGATAAAGGAAGAAGCACCCTTCGTTTCTTTTTTTGGGCGAGTTTTATTCGCTTTGTTAGCTTCATACATAATAGAAGTAACAATGTGATTGTTGCTAAACCAAATCCAAGTCTCATGTGGCTGAAATATAATGCAACTGCTGAGAAAACGAAAAAAGCTAGAATTGCAAGTTCCCATATTACAAACACCACTACGTCCACCCTGCAAATTTGATTGATCAAAAGAGGGAATGATTTCAGATATAATTTGTTTAAAGATTACAATGTGAGATAGAGATTGAAAAAGAAGTTGAATAACAACAAGATATATGCATTTGAACATATACAAAGATTCCACGCAAATACCAAATTAGGATTCTTCTATCAATAATATCACCAACTGGAAAGTGCAACTATAGTTGTATCAAGAATCTCTGTAGTGGAAAGTATTATCTTATCTTGAAAAAGAATTTCCTTGTTGGAAAGCATAACTTAATTCTATCAACAACTGTCATCATCATCATAGGCCATTGGAAAGATCAATGAGAAGTTACTAAGTATGACAATTGTTGTAGTAGGTTGCATTAACAGATCAATACCAAGTTAAAAAGGAAATGAAAAGGAAACAGGAATGATCATGCATAAAGAAATGAGAATGAAGCCAATCTAGGCACCAAAAAGCATCGCCATTTTCAAATTGCAGTGAAACTTTAATTCAGTTATCTGCTTTTTTCTCAAAACTAATTGCATTCATATGAATATGAGGTTAAAATCAGTATGTTCTTGATTCCTTTGCATCTTAGAACTCAAAGAGCATCTCGTATTGGCCTAACGATGGAAAATTGAGGAAACAAAGCATATACTTCATGAGACAATTAATCAATTTGCAGAAAACTACATTAACGAAAACCTAACCGTACAAAAGATGATCAAATCACAAAAACAGAAACACAAATTAATAGATATCTCACCTGGAAGAAGAGAGATTTGAAGTAGAGGAGAAGAATGAGACGGATGCCCAATCATGTTTCGATCGAATTTGATACTCTCTGAGCTGGTCGACCAGATTTGATCGTGTAATTTTTCTCTCATGATGCGCAGAACTTGACCGCGGTAACCCCGACACGCTTCCGCCATCAACCGCCTCCCTATCTACAGATCTATACATCTTCTCTTGCTGCAAAGAACTCGACCTCGGTATCATCTTAACGGTTCCACTCCCTCCCCGCTCTCTATCCACAGATCTATATACGTTTGCTTGGTGCATATAATTCGAATCTGTGTTCATAACGGAGATCAAGATTCGACTGAAATTGAGAGATAATTCACACCTGAAATCATCCGCAGGTAGTCGGCGGCGAAAAAGATTTGGAGATTTTCCAACTACCGGCGGATGAAACAGCAAGGGGACGGAGAGGGAGAGGGAGAGGGAGAGAGTCGTGGGGGTCGAGCAGTCGAGTATCAATGTCCCTTTCTTTCTCCCTTCGGGTAAAATGACATATACACCCTCGTAGTTTTGATTGACTCGAATTGAATGGTTTGAGAATGGAAGCTAACTATCCAAAAGGACATTGATGTAAGGGTATTTATTTATATACTAGATTATGACCCGCGTTAAATGCGGGGAAACGCATAAAAAAAGATAAAGTAACATAAATGGACTTCGTGTTATTGATTATTATAATGTCTAAAAAATAAAACGAAATATCTGATTATCTATAATTATTGAAAGGCCTCTTTGTAGACAATATTTTTTGTTTTATTGGTTTGACGACTTTCCTCGTCATATATAAGTAAATCTGAAAAAATGAACAAAAATACACATGTAAAAAAACACATATCTTGCAATAATATTTCTTTGGTGGCGTGTACATCAAGCAATGATAGTTTTACAAGTGTTATTGGACTGAGATTGGGACTTTTGTGAGGAGAAAAAGAGTAACAATATTTCTCACTCAAAAGGTGGGGTAACTTGCTCTCTATCTCTCATATGCGTAAAATATGTGAATACCCACTTCATCCTTATCATAATGAAAATGAAAACATAAGTGAAAAACAGTAAAAATAGAAAATAGCAAAGACATGTAAAATTGGAAAATGGTAAATACATGTGAAACTGCACAATCACAAAGTAGGACGCTATTTAACAGATTTTCCAACTTTAAAATCTGTCAAAAATAGTAACCTACTTTGAAAAATCTTGAAATAAAGTGTTTTTTTGGTCCTTTTTTCAAAAACAAATAGAAAAGTTGCAAATTGGTCATTTTTTGTAGATAAAGAAATGTGTCATTTTAAGTGTTTTTTTTAAACAGAAAAGTAGCAATTGCCAATTAGGACATTTTTTTTGGAATTTTATTTCTCTTATGGACTTTTTTCTGCCCAAAGGTTTTGACAACCGTTTTGGTCATTTTACCCGCAAACATAGAGTTTGTCAATTTTGTTAGAAAACTGAAACAAAAAAAATATGTTGTAATTTTTGTTTATATGCACTATTTAAAAAAAGAATACCTACAAACATTCCAAGGATTGCAACTGAAAATTTGTCGGTATAAAAAAAATTGCATTTTTAGTACTTATTACATGTTCCAGCACCTTTTTCATGCTAAACACAACATAGATTTGCAAGTATTCTGTCATTTTACAACAAAACACATACACATGAAAGTATAATGTTATAATCAACCACTAAATGAAAGTATGTTGCTATAATGATAAGAATGTACTTTAATAATAAATAAAATTGTTTTTATTAGTGTATGGTATGACACTTAATAAATTAAACGAAAATCTTTAACTGATTGCAATAATACTCTATCAGTTTCAGTTTGGTGTTGATGTCATATTTGTATGTTTTTTATTTAAAAATGTTTCAAAATTTTAATTATTTTTGTTATTTATATATACTTTATTTTGATAATATATATAAATAAAATTAAAATAAAAAGTAGAAAAAAAAAATAAGGGTAGGTTGTGAAAACAAAATCAAGGACATGGGATAACAAATTAAAAGTGTAAAAATTTAAATAAAAAAACCTATACAAAATCTATATAATATATAAGGGATGAAATCAAGGCTTTTTATGACTATGTTTCAAAGGTTTTTAAAGTGCATAAAAGGAAAAATACAATTTTATCAAGTGGATTAATAAAAACACTAAGTGGAAATATCTGCACCCTTACATAAGTTCATATACAAACTGCTATTTAACTTACCAATTGCCAATTGTGTCGTTTTTTTTTTGTCAATTGAGTTTCTTTTTTAATTTATTAAATGTGTAAGCATAATTAATACTCCAAATTATTAGTTGTATTTCATAATTCGGTTTTTTTTTTTCTTCTTATTTACGTTTCTTTTACAATTTGCATTATTTAACATTTAAAGTTTTGATGTGTACAATCTATCAATCATTCCATCATTTTTCTTTAAATTTATTTACTCAAGAAATATGTTGTCTAACAAAAATATATATATAAGAAATTTATTACTTCAGATGAAAGAAAAAAAATAGTATACATGCACACTTCAAGTTATATCAAAAGGTAAGAACCTAATGGAATTCCGGATAAAACCGAAATGCATAGTAATTTTATAGGAAAAATTACTCAAACACCATTTACAGTCAATTCCTTTATTGATTCCAAAAGATAGGCAACCAAACTTTAACTTAAAACTCCTCCATAAAAGAAAATACCAAAATTGTTGTTTCGTCAAATAAAACCAAATAACCCAGTAATAACTTTGACTACACTTGAACCAAACAGCCTTGATTTCAAGAAATTAGTTTCTCTCTTGATCATTAAAATACCATGAGCAATATAAGAACAGGAAACTAAACCGATTTCCAAAACCATTTTGACCAAAATGCCCCTGATTCAATAGCCAATAACAATGATAAAAAGATAACCCAATCTTGATCTCCATGCTATCATCACAAGCAGTGTTTCTGTCAAAAGAATCCCAGAAACACCAATAAAACCCAGGAATAGGGAACCTACCAAAATCTTCCAAAAATACCCTCCAAACCAAGAGGTAGAATTGTCACTGATAAAAAAAAATCTGTCATTCCCCTTTACGAAATCCAAGCCGGAAAACCCATAATTTTTTGTATATGGTCTAATAAAAATCACATACATAGTATTCCGTTCATAAAAAAACTGAAATACCCCTATTCATTACAATTTGAACTTGCTGTTGTGAATAAAAAATTGACAAGCCCATCGAAACTTCTAAAAATCATCAGGATGATTCCCCATGAATCCGATATTCAAGTTGTTGAGCAAAAGCAGGTGATACAACATAATCGGAAAGAAAAAAAAATCAGAAATTGACCATAATACCCTTTAATCTAATTGACAAAAGAAACACCATTATCATTCTCAACCCTCACTTTCCTTATCTCGACATGATCAGAATAGTGCCAATTAGCTCTAATTATCATCTTCTTAACCCAACACCAATTATTCCTTAATTTTCCTTTGCTTTTCCTATTATTAGAATCTGCAGGCTTGTAAAACCTTTTGTATTTATTTTCCCCATGGCTGCAACTCTGCCATCTAAACTTCCAACCCAAATCAGACAAGATTTTAATCCCCATGAAAACATCCATCATTTTGAACTGGAATATTCTAATTTTATAGATTTCCATATTTAGACCCAAATAACCCAATTTGAAACCAAACAACTTCATTCTAATATCCTCCAAAATTCTTTGAACCACAAATCAATAGAGTTAGTTTCATTCCCAAATATGGTTTGATAATCAATAGAATTAGTTTCATTCTAATATCCTCCGAAAAAATTATATACCTAAAGAAATGAAACCTTTCCAGATTACCAACCTTTTTCACAGCTTTATCAATGTTATCCTTCTGCTTATAACCCACTGTAAATGTTACAAGGTACCTTGGTTTGATAATCAAGTCCTGAAAAATACAAAATTTCACCCAATCAACTAAATGTAATTAACTAATTACCAATATAAAATTAAAATAATGGATTTTAAAGAAGATATATCATATATACCTCATTGGGAACATTATAGAGTAGAGATTAGACTCAGTGGTAAATATACCTGGTAGTAGTCTTTCAACACTTTGAGGATTTGTTGACACCCATATCTGCATTACAATTTAAAAGCATTTAACACACACAGATACACAAAATGGAATAACAATAAATAAAATTATCTTTGTGCCCTCGGGTTCATCTGATCATAATCCCTTGTGACGCCTTATTAAAGACCAAACATTCAAGAGGGCTTGTGATGGGAGGCCTGAGTATTTGTCCTCTATGTAACCAAGATCAATGGATGGAAGTAGAGTAGATGGAAAGTTCATCTGTTTCAAAGACAATACTTTTTACTTTTTTTAACTACTTTTGATAAAATTATGTTCATGTGAATCAAAGAATGATAAAATTGTTGAAAGTGTACCTTCGATAATGAAATTGTTGGGGAGGATACTCCTAAAAAGAATCCAAATACAACACTGATAAAAGTTGTTACTATTAGCCTTATTGTCTTGTTTGGTATTCTTACCATTCCACTGCATAAAAAATAATTGTAAATGACAATGAACAAATATTTTTTTCATTGTAAGGAAACAAGAACTCGAGTGAAGAAGAAGAATCTGCGCCCATATTTGTTTTGAACTGGATGCCCTTTTAGAACTCTGGTGAATCAATTTACTTTAAGTGACTCATAACATGTGTTTGAATGTGAACGATTATTTAAGCTTGAAGAACCATAATCAATTGATTTTAGGTTGTCAAAATCTGATTTATTTCACCTAATATGAAGTGAAAAACATAATCATAATCAGTTCCAAACACTAATACTGATTATTGCTATTCAGTTCGCATAATAAATGCAAACAAAACAAAAAGAAATGCTTACTATTTTATCATTAGAAGACATTGCTTTGGTTGTGATATCAAAATCTTTAAAAATAAAACAGAAATAAAGAAAATGTGATAATAAGCTGGATAATGATGGTTGAATCTTGAGTGCAAAAGTGAAACAGAAATAACAATCAAACCTTAGGGAACATTTCCTGTAATTTGCAATCTTGAGCTATGGAATCAGGGATTCCGTTAGGTAATGTTGCAAACCCTCCAATCAATAAAGCCGATGACACTGGAAACAACTGATTATATATATATATATATATATATATATATATATATATATATATATATATATATATATATATAACAATTGTTTAGTAATTGAAAGAAAAAAGATAACACAAAATATAATATATAATATCTGGAGATAAGTAATGATCACTTACAGTGCATGTTTCAAATTTGTTTAGTTGAAATGGGGAAGGAATGTTTCCATTAGCAGTATAGTTACCACTTATTATGTCTATTGCATCCTGAAAAACACACATAATGATAATAATTATAATAATAATAATAATAATAATAATAATAATAATAATAATAATAATAATATTAATAATCATGAAAAAAGATGAAGAGATGTTTTCTATGATGAGGGCATTCACGTCTTTTTGCATACACAAGAGATTGAGAAACTTGTCTGGCGAACTCCATCTTGGAAATTATTTAAATAATATCTTGAAAGGGCACTCATCCCATCACAATAGAGGAATTGAACCTCGGGCCTATAAAAATGATGACTTGAATCCATCATACTCCAGCAATTGTTCAGTTTCAATAAAATTTGCAATTAAAACAGAATATCATATGTGAGAATATACCTGCTTCCAAATTGGGTTTACTCATCAATCCGTTAGCCATCTTATATATTCTCTGTAAGCTGTAAGACATCAAATTTCTTTGAAATGAAAAAGGTTTTCTAACATAATAACAATATCCAAATACCAAATTTTAGGAGTTCATCATTCAATAAGAACACGTACTTTAATGTAATATATGTTTCGTAGGAATAATACAGTCTAGGAGTCTCCTCTACAGTTCTCAACAATGTCTGGAAGTAAGCCTCATCTTTTTTCTGTATAATGATGGTTTTATGAAACAATTAAGGTGTGGGGCTTAATGGAACAGCTTGCAAAATAAATGAACTTACTTGCTGATTATTAATATTACTTAAACCTTCATTACAGGAAAAGAACTTCATAGACATGACTCTGAAGACAGGATAACCAAGGTAAGTTCCAACCTCCTTGCGAGAAGTTATGACCAATACATATGTCCCTACACAAAGACAACAAAATGTTTAATACATTCATCAAATCTTTGGGCTTACTATAAGTTGAACAACTGTCCATGTATGGAAAAACAGCTGTAATGAATGGTCCTGATCGTCAACTATAACTTTTCAAATCAATTATACTTGAAAATAAACAAGAATTACACGGTTTCACTGTAAAATAAGATTAACCACTACTAAGTCAGACAACTAAGTTTTCAAATCAGATCCGAATCTGAAAAGTAACATCAGGATAAACGAATCTGGGTCCATTTACAACTTTAGGGTTTCAAATTCATCAAAACTGAACATATAACAGATCGAATACCTAACATCAAAACACTAAACAAAACATAATTCGATGCATTCATACAGAAACACATGCATAGATTAAAAACGAATAATTAGTATAATAGCGATTAAAGGAAGAAAACTAAAGTACACAGATATGTCATGTAACAAGTAAAACAACGTAAAAAGAGTAAGAGAAATGTTATTCGAAGAGATTAACCATGGTCGCAGACGATTGATCGGAGAAGATCGAGGCGATAATCAACAAAATTGTAGAGAGAAAACCGAAAGGCGGTGGATATGAGTAGATGTGAAGAACAGAAGCGTGTTTATATATATATATATATATATATATATATATATATAGAGAGAGAGAGAGAGAGAAATGAATGTGGTGATGGAAAAGACTTTTAGTAGTGCGCACGAAGATAATAATCAGAGGGATTCGGGCTTCGCTATTGAGAGAGAGAAGGTAGATGACGAAGGAAAGAAGAGACAATCATGTAACGGTGTTTGAATATCAGGATTAGAAAATCAAAGATAATATGTCAGCAAAACAATCTAAGGTAGAAAATCAAAAGATTGAAATGTAATGAATGGTCCTGATTTCTTAAGATTAGAATTTAAGGTTCTCTTTTAATAATATTTAGAGATACGTGGTTTTATAAATGAATAATATTAAGAACAAAGGGTATACTCACTGCATTCAGCATATTTTTCATCTACTAACTCAAAGTAAGGGTATTTTTCCTTTCACTCTCTAAGGGAGGATGAAGTTTTTGACTCCCAACCCACTCAACCCACTGTCACATCAGCGCCACATAAGCATTTCTCTCTCCTCTCTCTTCCATATTTCTCAACCCACAACACATGGAAATTCTATCTTTCTCAACCCACTCAACCCACTTAATTTTTTATTTTAAAATAAACATAAACTATTAAAAATTATACAAAACTAATTTACATAATATTAAAAATATACAAAATAATTTAAAAACTAATTAAATAACATACAAAATTGATTTGGTACAAATTTTGATGCATAATGTACAAGTGATTATTGCATGAGTTGAAAATGATATATACGGGTTAGTGAAGCCGCATATATAACCCACTCAACCCAAAAGTGTCAACCCGCTCAAGAAGGTGTCATACCTTGGAGGTACCGCCTGTACCTCCCATAAAATATTGCATGATACCCTCCTCCCTAACCTAGGAAATGGTAAGTGGTCATCCTCATCCTCATTTTCTATCATTTTTTTAATAATATAAAGCAATGAGATATTTTATTGTACAAATATGACACAATGAAAAAGATTATAGGAGATTGTTGCAATGGTTTTCCATCACACGGGAAAACAGCAACGGTTGTAATGTTCCTGCGGTCACCAGGATGTCACATCAGTCCCACCGCATAATGCAGTGGGAGTCTACATCTTGGTCTAATATATATATATATATATATATATATATATATATATATATATATATATATATATATATATATATATGGTAAACACATAATAAAATATTATTATGATGGTTTTGATATTTGTCTATAAAACTAAGGCAGGATAATTTAATTTTGTATTTTCTAAGATCGTTAGAAACATATGTGATTGTGTACATATTTCTTGTTCGTGTCATATTGGTTAAGAGGTTAGATATGAATTAACTAAAATTACGGAGCATGAAATTTTGAAGGTAAAAGTGATACTTTGATTACAGAATCAAAGTATGTTTTTGGAAAGGAAACTTCCCTAACGAGGGTTTCCGGACCAGCTTTTGCGCACCGACTAATCCCCCGCTGCAAACATGAGGTTTTGCCTCATGCCCTGGAGTCACTGCAGGCGAACCTCCATGACCACAAGGGTTGAGTGGTGCCAGGATTTGAACATGGGTCAATAGGTTATCCACCATATCTTCCACATGCCTTACCAAGTCACCACAACCCAAGTGGTTAAATCAAAGTATGTTGTTATTCATGAAAGGGGCATCCTTAGCAAGGAAACGATCCAATTATTTCATTCTTTGTTCTTTTTCGTTTATCGAATAAAATTTGCTATTCTTACTTGTTACTGGACCATTAACCAATTCTTTAAAAGAAAAAAAAAAGATTCCAACAAAAACTATGATTATATTACCCAATTAATTAGGTATTGTGGTGAGAGAATTGGGTTTTCCTCTTTTAAAACACCCATCCATAATAGTAACCAAGTTTTCATAAATATTTTCTCAATAAACCAATTACCCGTTTAAGTAAAACGACAAAAGAGATGTTTCGAATCTTTGTAGAAACTATCTTTAAAGAAACTAGTGAAAAATAACTCAGCAACATCACTATTTAACCTAATTAATAAAATAAGTATTCATAGTCACATAAAGTATTATCCATTACTCCATTAGGTATTTAATAAGTCGGTTGTGCTATTCGTGTTTGCATGTTGGGCCTAAAACCTTTCTTGTTATGTTGGTGGAATGTATTCGGGCTATTATTTGGCCATTGGCCCATTTTATCTAATTTTTTTGTTGACTTAAACAGTTATGGCCTTGTGGACAAGGCCTGTGGGGTGTGGAGAATTTGACAGATGGACTTTAAGATGTGAACTTTGAAAGACTTTAGTGATTTATGAGATCATTTATATTCCTTTATGTCCCTTATGAAGACTTTATTGATTTATAAGTTCATTTATATTCTTTGTATTATATACGATAAACTAATGTGAGAGGTGAGATAAAGGTAAGCCATGTGGTATTTGAATAGAATTTGAAAGCATATTGCTATAATCGAGAATAAAGGGGTAAAAGACAATGAATGAAAAGTTAAGGTGTTATGATGTATGAGATTTGTGAAAACTATGGCGCCACTATAGGTTTTTTTTTTAGAAAAAATTGAGTAGGGATCCCATGAAATATGAGGCAATACAAGTTAATAAATGGGTTTAAGTGGAAATTGTGGAACTGATGACTAAGTTAACTTATATAAATTGGATCGATTCCCCAGTCTTTATAAATTGGAATCAGTCAAAAGGTGTTCGTTAAACGAAAAACTATGCAATACCGTTTTTTATGGCAATGGCGAAATAAAAACATGCATGCAACGACATCGTTGGAGTTACACAATTTTTATCTCCTGTTTGACTCGATGAAATTTAGCACTCAAAGAAACATTGGATTTCGATTCAATTTGAGCATAGATGGCAGCTATCTGGTAAAATATTATGAACGTAATTGCCTCGAAGCTAAATCATTCTCATGGTAAAACCGATTAGTTGGTCAAAATTCATACCTATGAAAGTCAAAAGTTTAGTTTGGAGGGCAATTATGGATTGCGTTCCTGTATCAGATGCTCTTAGATATAGGGGCATTTTGGCTCAATCCTCAAATTGGCTTCTATGTGAATCTCATGTAGAGACTGCAAATCATTTATTGACGGAGTGTGTTTTTGCTAAATCGATTTGTTACTAGATCTTGAGATGGAGTGGTATTCAAAACATTCAATTTGTTAACACTTGGGGAATGGTGGATTTGGTTGCAACATGGGGTAGTTGTCCAAAAAAAGACAAATCCTTACCATGATATTCTATGTCATGTTTTGGTATATTTTGATAGCAAGGAATGAAAAAAATTTCAAGAAAATAAAGGCTTCTCCAACCAAAACGGTCGATGTGATCATCTCTCAAACATACGAATGCTACAAAAAAAAGGGTGAAACAAAATGTTTGTTGGGTGGAATGGGGATGTTCTCCTTTCTAAATTCTATCTTAATTTTGGTTTCAATTGTTAGTTTTGTTAGTTATAGCCTGTTATTTCATGTTCCTCTGTATTGTTTCGTCTCCAAATATAGCTCATTGCTTTGTTTGGTCTTATATTAATATATTTATTCTCCGTTTCTTAAAAAAATAACACCCCAAGTGTAACTGTGGACCCCACCAAAATTCAAGGCTTGGTAGTTGTACATTAAATTATATTATTCGTTGTGCATAAATTTTATATAATTCTTCCATCCATTTGTGCACCGGGATAATTAAAAGCTCAAAGTTTGAGTGCTTAATACGTAAAGAAGAAAAATACTAGAACCATAAGGAAAAATATGTAACACTTGAAAAAATCAAGAATCTTTTAATTTTTTGAGTTAGCGAAAATCACATCCGACCCCCTCTCTTTCCTCCTACGAAGATTCATTGGGTGCACATCGCCTCCTGCACCACCTGCACCGCATTTATTACTAGATGTGTAACCTTTCTTATCTTTATGCAATATGCATTTAGTTAGTCTACTTTAGTGCATGCATTTAGTTGCGATGTTTTGTTTGCTTTAATATAGTAACCTAAAGTGTCTTTTGGTCGAAATATTGGAAACCCCTATGATTAAGATGGATGAGTAGTTAAACAATTTCCCCATGATAACTTCTTTTGTTGTCACGTATGGGTTTTGTTAAAACTGAATATGGTGTGATTTGTAGCATAAGAATCAAGTATTTGTATGGATAAAAATGGGAATTTCGTATTGTTTTGTTATTTTTTGTTGTTTGCTCCCTAGAAACGCTACGTTTCTTATAGAAGAGTTGGTGTTTTTTTTTTCTTTTCTTTTTTATGTATAACAGTTTTCAAAAGTTTAATGCAGCCATCTCAGATATTAAA